GCACCTCTTGAGAGAAACACAAAGAAAGGCCACAAAAATTTTACACTACTCTCATTCCCTCTTTTCCCTAGAAACCGTGGACCTCAAAGGGGAAGAACACCAAGAAATTGTATTCCATCTTCTCTTCCCTTAAGCCGCGAGCTCCATGAGCAGGGAGCTAAAATAATTAAGCACCTTCTTCTTCCTTCCTTGTTCAGCTGAAGGTCCAGCTTAAGAAGGTGAACTATTTTCCCTCTCCTTGTCTATCTCAACACAAATCGGTACTCATTGAGGGTTTTACTTTTTGCATGTATATGATTTTGCCTTGATTGGATTCTTTCCCCCATTGCATGTAGCTGAAATCGATTTCTTGGAGCATTGGATGATGGAGGTTGCTGTTCCGTAAATGAATTGCTAGTTGTGTGTACTTGCAAGGAGGTAACGTCCAAACCTCAAGCTTCTCCTCCCCCTCTCTGTTGCGGTTTACATGTGGATTTTAGAGGAATTATTGTCTTGTCATTCCTACTCCTTGCTCTCATGATTCGGCCCCTACATGCATGTTGGAGGATATTTTATTTTGGCTATTCTTTTCCTTTAGTTCTGTCCCTTCGAGCCGCTCTAGGACTTGATGCATGTAGGCTAAAAAACTGAACTTACAGGTGTATTTTAAGGGGTAGCTTTTTATCATTTTCATTCCCTTGTTTCTGCCATGTTATAACCGATTGGGTTTTGTGGTTACACGCACAAAGAATCATTTTTTTAGCTTGGAATATAGTCTCCCTTGTTGGACATTTTGTTTTGTGGAAATAGGAGGAGGTAGCTAGTGTTGCATGTGTCAAATTCAACTAGATAGGATGTGTAAAGGCCCCTTTAACGCACACTGGGCTTAGTGGAGTCGACTATTTACCTGAAATTTTGAATATCCTTTTATGCTAAGAAAATCGAACCTGTGTATGTATGAGACCTTGATTTTTTTTGCTATTACATGTCGGTAAATTAAAATAGAGTCAGAAATTGGTATAGTGTGAAAATCTTGGTAATCCGATTAAAAATCAAGGGTTATGAGGCATGGAAATTGCTTGTAAATCATAGGATAGCTTCAATAAAAATTATGACTTGTGGTGCACTTGTATAGGTGCGCAAAACTCTAAGTGAGTAGGCTGGATTGTTGTGATTCAATTGGTTAAAAAGTTGGACACATTCAAGGTAAGTGTTTGGTGGCGAAGCCTATTGTGACTATTAGCTAGTGCATACAATTTTGAACGGTTTCTCACGTGTGCCTTTGGATTCGTATTATGTTAAATATTAATTATAATCTTCCCTTGGACTTGACGTAATGGAAATTCTGTTTTGGAAGTGTTTTTTATTCGAGATGTTGGTATTAAAAATCCATGATAAACATGGTCCTCTGATTATGATACTCAGTCATGATCATGAATATCATAAAACTGCATTTCTCATGCGTGTGTGAAGCCAAACATGTCATAGCATACAACATTATACATTCAGTTTGGAAACTGAAGTATATAATAAAAGTAAGCATATGTTTGAGCACGCATCATATAGGCATCCCTCAGGTACCAGGGAACGGAACCGTGGCTCAGTTCGCATAGGTCGCAGTTGGAATTCCCCTCTGATGGGCCAAATGGAATATCAACTGTGTTAGTTAGTAGTACGTGCACTGCAGTGCTATAAACGTACATTACTCTGGCGTTATATACGCATTCTGATTAGTACTCTGGCGGTATATACGCATTCTGATTAGTACTCTGGCATTATATACGCACTCTGATTATATGTTAGCATATGTTCTGAATTTTTTGTTGATGCGACTATTTTGAGATATCAGAAAAATGTTAGGACATGTCTTAATTGGCAGTATTCTGAATTTTAATGTCACCATGTAATTTGTAAAAATTCTGGTACTCTTTTGCGAAAACCATTCCTATACGTTTTAAATCCTGAATTTTAAACTGATTTAACGAGCACTTTACGAGTTCTGTTTCTGGGGCTACAGACCTCCGTTTTACATATAATTTATATGCACATAAAGCCCCAGATGTATAGTTTCTGATTATATAAACTTCATGTCAAAATTTTGAAAGCTCAATTTTATATGATTTTTGCAAGACAGACAGGTTTTCCAGAAAAATAACAAATTCAGCATGCAATGTATTTTACCAAATATTCCACTGTGTTCATGTACAATCAGATTTCAATTTAAGATTTTAAATTGTGACTTAACAATGCAGTTCAGTATTTAATTCGTTGACGTTTTGACTCTAATCCGCTTAGCATACATCTCCCTTGGATGCATACAGGTGAGGGTGTCACACTTCGTCAGTCTGTCCACAATGACCCAAATAGAGTCGCAGCCAACCTGAGTCTTCGGCAAACCCACCACGAAGTCCATGGAAATGCTCTCCCATTTCCATTCCAGAATCTCAAGAGGTTGAAGCTTACCAAACGGCGTCTGCTGTTCTATCATCATTTTCTGGAAAATCAAACACTTGGACACATACTCAGCTATGTCCTTCTTCATGCCCGGCCACCAGAAATTCCTCATCAAGTCTTGATACATCTTTGTAGCACCAGGATGAACAGTGAACTGGCCCTTGTGGGCCTCCGCCATAACCTCTTCGGTCAAAGGACCTCGAGGAACCACGATCCGCTTCTGAAATAACAAAGTCCATCCTCATTCCAAGACACACCGTCTTGGTTCTTCACGTAGTCTAGGCACTCTCTCTGCACTTGTGTATCTTGGATCTTCTCCATAAGCTGATTTTGACTCTCATAGTCTCCATCTCGAGAAGTGCACCCCCAAACAAGGAAGTCACCGACAGGTCTCGAAATCTCTCAATGACACCAAAGTCACCAATCAACACACTGGATAGACTCACAGATTTCCGACTCAGAGCATCAGCTACCACATTGGCCTTGCAAGAATGATACTTCAACTCAAAGTCGTAGTCCTTCAGAAACTCCATCCATCTCCTTTGTCTCATGTTCAGCTCCTTCTGATCAAACAGATACTTCAAGCTCTTATGGTCACTGAACACAGCAAACTGCATACCGAACAGATAGTGCCTCCAAATCTTAAAAGCAAACACAATCGCAACCAACTCCAAATCATGAGTCGGGTAGTTCTCCTCATAAGACTTCAGCTGCCTCGAAGCATAAGCAACAAATCTGCCGTTCTGCATTAAAACACAGCCCGACCCCTTTCCAGAAGCATCACAGAAAAGCTTAAACTGCTCCTCAGGATCAAGAAGGATCAACACAGGCGCGATGGTCAATCTCTCCATCAACTCCTGAAAGTATTCCTCACACTCGTGAGTCCACACAAAAGGAGTCTCCTTCCTTGTAAGGTGAGTCAATGGAAGAACCATCATGGAGAATCCCTTAATGAACCTCCGGTAGTAACCCGCCAAACCCAAAAAGCTCCTCATTTCGGTAACCGTCTTGGGCCTCTCCCAATCCAGCACCGCTTCAATCTTGTTGGAATCCACTGCGACTCCCTCAGCAGAAATCACATGCCCAAGAAACTTAACAAACTTGAGCCAAAACTCGCATTTAGAAGGCTTAGCATAAAGCTTTTTCTCCTTCAGCACTTGCAGAACAATCCTCAAATGCTCTGCATGCTCCTCCTCAGTCTTGGAGTAAATCAGAATGTCGTCAATGAAGACAATCACGAATTGATCCAGGTACGGCTGGAAAATCCTGTTCATGTCATCTATGAACATAGCAGGTGCATTGGTGAGTCCAAACGGGATCACCAAATACTCAAAATGACCGTATCGCGAAGGAAACGCGGTCTTAGGGACATCCTCCGGCTTCACCCGAATCTGATGGTATCCAGACCGGAGATCAATCTTTGAATACACACAAGCACCCCTAAGCTGATCCAGCAAGTCATCAATATGCGGAAGGGGATATTTGTTCTTGATTGTCACCTTGTTCAGCTGCCTGTAGTCGGTGCACAATCGCATTGTCCCATCTTTCTTCTTCACAAAGATAATCGGTGCTTCCCAAGGAGACACGCTCGGTCGGATGAAATCTTTCGCTGAAAGATCCTCAATGTGCTTCTTCAGCTCCGCCCACTCCGGTGGCGACATCCGATATGGGGCTAAAGAAATAGGCCCCACACCAGGAAATAGATCTATGGAGAACTCTATCTCCCTTTGTAGCGGAAACTCAGGAATCTCCTCAAGAAACACCTCGAGGAATTCCCTCACCACAGGAATGCCAGCGATATCCTCTTGTGCTCCACTCACCAAACCTTCCAACATGACATAGCCAAATGCCCCTGCTCTCAAGGCTCTCCTAGCCTGCAACAATGAAATATACGGCGAGGAACTGGCCGTGGATTCACACAGAGACATCACCACACGCTTGGCACAACAATCAATCATCACACAATTTCTGGACAACCAATCCATGCCTGTAACATCCCGTGAAAATTAGGAACTTATGTAAATTACCACTAGTAATGGGAATGCATGTATTGAATTTGAATTACTTACATATGGCTATGATGGGATGAATTTTAAATAATATTGGTTACATTACATGAAGAAATCATAGTTACAGCCTAGGGGACCCATAAAGTGATAACTATTAGGAAAGTATATAAATTGTTACTTGGAGTGAGGAATCTTGTCTTGAGGGCGAGTTTTATATAAGGTTAGGGTGGAACTAACTTAAAGTAGGAAATATTATTTGCTGCAATCATGGTAAATATTTAGGTGATTATTTCCATGGGTAAACCCTTAGAAAATAATTAAATACATAAAATAATAAGGCTTGGGTTAATTCCTAAGATAGGAGAACAATTGGACTTATTTTTTTTGAACCCATTTTCCACCTAGGCCCTCGGCCCAAGGGTCTTTGATGGGGGCTTGTAATCATCTCAATTTTTCCTCACCTTAGCTAATCCTCACTCATCCTTAAGAAATCTGGATGTATGCTCCCCATTGGCCCACTCTTTTTGCATGTATTCTCATTGGCTGGAAAACCACTTCCCTATCCTAACCATTTCACTCTAAGAGCGCTAGTGAGAGAGATATAGGCTGAGGTATATGCTGTTAATTGAAAATGATAATTAATCTTGATTCCCTCTTTCCGCTCGGCACCTCACGGTAACAAAACCGAACCAGAAACGTAAGTCACCCCCTCACACTCCTAAAGCATCAAGAACACCTAAACTGAACTTCACCCACTCCACACCTTCGGCCAAATCAACCGTGGTACAGTTTGCTTGTCAGTTCAATGTGTTTCATCATTTTCCACCAAGTCAGTGACGTTCCTAGGAGGGGGGAATTACCATCCATTGTTATTCCCTTCCCCTTCCAGCTGTGTGTTCATCAGCATAGAGATGGAGAGTTCATCGTTGTACTGCCTTCTCTTCCTTAGCGGGTTCTGACCGAGTTTCTCCTTGGACACACATTGACCTGATTCGATTTAGTGCTGCCCCCATTGCATGCAGCTTGGGATCAAACCCAGCAGTATTTTCTGCCCCCTTTGTGCGCTGCTCATCTTAGTCCAGGAGGTAGGGTGTTCTCGTTACCTCTTTGTCTCTCAAAGCTTCTTTCGGTTTCTGATATAAGTGTTTCCCTTGCATACAATTGAAGTGGTAATCGTTGGATAGTAGAAAGGTTGAGGACCTTAGCACAAATCTTGGAGACTACCTTACTGACTGTTTTTTTTGGACCAATTGTATAACTGCAAGAAGAGGTAAGCCAACCCCAAGCCTTCCTTTCACTAATTCTGTTTTGGCATGTTTAAGTGTGTTGGGATAATGTTTTCGTTAGTTGTCTCACTGCCCTGATTCTGCCCTTTTTTGTACAGCGTTGGAATTGATTCATGTAAACCCAAAAATGGATTTTTGTAAACTTAGAATGGGGCTCTCTGTTTACGTTGTTGGACTGCCCATTTGATTAACCAAATTAATTAGATTTTTTTTGCATATATTAGAATTAAATGTACAGCATGTTATGAGTACCCTTAACGCGCCATAAGTATTGTAGAAAAGGTTAGAAAAGTGAACCAATAGTGAGCTTCTAGTTGCTAGCCAAAACCAATTCTGTATGAGTTGGGATTTCCTTTCGCTGTTACATGTTGGTCAATTAATGTGGAGTTAGAAATTTCTTAGGGTAAGACCATGGAAAAACCGATTTGAAATGCATGAAGAATAGGTTTTTGTTATTTCTTTTCGCTCCTTGATTCTGCCCCTCTTGGAACCGTTTGGGCCTTATACTTCTAAGCTCACTGAATCATTTTAAGAGTTGGATTATAGCCCTCTTGTAAATTGTGGGGGCTGTTTTGTTGGTTTATATTGTGTATTTAGCTTTACATGTTGTGTACTCCATGGGGCAGCAAGCCTAGAGACCCACTTAGTGTAACCATAAGTTTTGAAGAATCGGCCTTGTGACAAAAATACCTTGAGCACCTTTCCAACCTAAGAAACCGAACCTGTAAGTGTGGGGACTTAGGATTTTATTACTGTTAACCGGTCATTAAATTAGCATGAAGTCAGGAATTGATTAGTAGAAGAAGCATGTTAATCTGAGTAAAATACAAGAACTTGAAAGGCATGCGAATTTCTTATAAATAATAGGTAACATGAATAAAGTTCTGACTTATCGTACCATTGATTAGGTGCGCATAATTATTAAAGTGTGGACTGGTTTTGGTGCCGTTGATTAATATTTGGACACGCGAGGTAAGTGTTTGGTGTTATTACCTAATGTGACTATTAGCTAGTGTATAGAATTGTGAATTGTTGCTCACATGTGCCTTGGATTAATGTGCTGTTATATGCTATATGTATGCTGCCTATGAATGTGACAAGATGGAAAATTCTGTATGAGAAGTAATTGTTATGTGGCAGCTTAGTACGGAAAGTACATGAAAGATATGCTATTATGATGATGATCTAGTCATGCATATACACCTCATAATTCATTTGTTTCTTGTTTGTGTGTGGAGCATATCATGGCATACATGCACGAATTTCATGCTGCTGATGGACTACGATAGTTATATAAATATGCATACATTTGAACACGCATCATATAGGCATCCCTTCGGTACCAGGGTATGGGACACTTGACTTCTGTCCGCATAGGCCATAGTTGGAATTCACCTTTGAGGAGCCATTATGGAATATCCACTGTGTATGTTAGTACGCGCACGACGGTGCTAGGAGCGTAATGATGGCGTTATATACGCACTATGATATGTTAAGTACGCGCACGACGGTTCTATGAGCGTAATGATGGCGTTATATACACACTATGATATGTTAAGTACGCGCACGACGGTGCTATGAGCGTAATGATGGCGTTATATACACACTATGATATGTTAATGCTTCTACGGAAAATGAAATGTTGATGTGACTGTTTTATAATTTTGTGCCTAGTTTAATACTGTTGCATTATTGGTTTTGCTATCACACTACTGGGATTTTTCTCACCCCTTTGGGGCTGCAATTTTTATAAAATTGCAGGAGGACGAAAGAGTATATGAAGACATGGTTATTTTGGATATTGGCTGTTAATTGCTGTTGTTTGGATTTTTGCTATTGCTGTTTATTTGATGGATGACTGTATTATTTTGGGAAGTTTGGATTACTGTTGGAACTATGATTTAGCTACTGTTTTGAGACTTTTATGATCAGTTATTACTTTGGAAAAATTCTGAAAACGTTTTGTGAAAATAATTTTCTGAACGTTTTATTAAGTGCTGATTTATAAACAGTTTTGCGAGTAATTTGCGAGTTATGTTACGAGAGGCAAACGACCTCCGAATTGCTATTATTTTATATGCACGCGAAGCCCCAGACGGGCTCTTTCTCTATAACAAAAAATATTTTTTTGAATTGTTGAACTCAATTTTATACGAATTTTATAAGACAGAAAGGTCTGCCGGGAAGTTAAACATTTTCAGCAAGCTATGTAATTTTTAAAGTCTACTCTGATTTTTGTATGTACCCAGATTTCATCATAAGTTTTAATTAGCAACAAAAAGATGCGTATTCAATATCAAAGTAATGACGTTAAAACTCTAATCCGCTTAGCAAACAACTCTCTTGGATGCATACAAGGGAGGGTGTTACACTAATTGGTATCAGAGCAGTTTTGATTTAAGGTGTCTCCATTTGATGAAATATCTGTTGTTTGTCCTTGGTTGTTGCATTGTTGATGTTTGAAATGACTGGCTGTTTGGATATGTTCGTTGAATGGTTGTTGTTTGAATGTAACTGCTGCATAGGTTGATAGCTAAAACGTCTTGTCTCTTAGGTGTGATGGTATGGGTAGTGCCCGGTACTAAGCATGGATGTGCCCATTCCCTTGCTAGGTGGTGAGCCTGATCAACTCACTATCGCGCAAGGTGTGTGTGCACCATCATGGTTATCACGGGGTACACTTGTGTCTGAGCACTAGGTGTGCAAGGGTAAATTGCTACTTGAATTAAAGGTGAATTAATAATTCTGGTTTTTTTTTTTTATGGAAGGTTTATATATATATATATGCTTGGTGTGAATATTTTTACGATATTCTAAGCTGTGAATGATAACATGTAAATTTAAATAATGATTGCTGGTGTACGTGCCCTTGAGGTCTATGTTGTTTCATTGCATGTGTGGTTGTGTTGATGGCTGGATAGTAGAAACTGTTATTCTTCACTAATTCTGTTATGTTACTTAATCGCGTGAGGAGTTAATATGTTTGAGAAGAGTAGTAGTGATTTAATTATGAAAATTGATGTAGGGATAGGTCACTTATCTAAGTAGATCCGGTTAATGCTTTTAGAACGTAGAATTAGTATTAATTAAAGTTTTAACATGTGGGATCTCTGTCCCTTACAAATCTTCTAATGGTGAATTGGCACTAGACATCATTCTTGAGAAAGAAGCTGTAAAACAAAGTGGTGATGTGTGGAGGAGGATACTTGACTCCTACCTCCCTGTCCTTTATGTGAGTGATACTCGTTGCTTTAATTCATGCGCATTGGATTGCTTTGTATGATTTTGACCACGTTTGGACTTGCATATAATTTATTGTCTCTGATTGTAGTGACAGATTTCATGTGGTGATTGCTTGAATCTATCAATTTAGATTTTTAACATTTTATTGGAACTGAATGCATAAATTAAAGAAAGGTTATCTGAATTGAATTTAGAATATAGTAGACTGAACAGGCGGATTGAGACTACATGGAATTACCCCACTATTTGGCTTGTCTTATCATGTTGGCTAATTGATACCTTGCTAAAATTAATATTTGAGTAAGCATCAGAAGGTTCTAACTGGGTTACTAAAATTTTTGTTTAATCGTGTATGAGTATAAAGATTGTGCACTAATGGCATAATTGGATTGAATAGAGATATTGGAACTTGACTGCTTATAAGCGTTGACCGTTATGAGCCCATATCTGTTAGTTGCATTAAATTGGGGGTTCGGAAATCTGATGTCTGCTGGTACATAGAACTTTAGGTTGGTTTCCGTTATGAATACTGTAACTTTAATTTGATCAAATCAATTCACTAACTCTAATGAATACTCACAATTAAGTCGTCACACACTTGGTCTCAAGTCATATTTTTGGCTGCATGATTCGGCTTCTTACAAAGCACTATAATTATATTTCATTGTGTACTTATACAACGGAATCTAGATTGCATGTGAATTCCAATGTTTATATAATGCAAGTTTATTAACATTGCATACCGATTTTATTGCATTTCATTTTGTAAGCAAGCCCATTGAAATTTCAATGTTGAATTACATATCAAGTGCTCTTCGTTGAATTTATAATATGGTGAACTGAACTAAGTGATTGTTGGTAACTTGTACATGTACTTTGGTATTCATTTCCTAGTTTAAAATTTGCCAAAATACATGTAATTATTTATATCCTTGAGTATTCAGCATGTCTTTGATAAGAATGGTTTCTTGGATTGGTTATTTTATATCTTGTTCCCGTTTCTGATTGGATACCCCCACATACTTGCCCATAACTATTAAATTAAAATTTCTTAAAGTGTTGTGTGCTATTCTGTCTTGAACTACCAAAGCTGATTTAGTAACTAATTTGAATAGAATAAATGAACTTCTCCAATGTTCATATGTTAATGTATCTATGCTAGGGATCAAACTAGAGAGACACCTAATAAAGTAGCACACACTGTGATGAGTATTTCTTTTCCGCCTTAGGAGCAGACTTGCATTTTATTTGGAAAATGGTGCATATTTCTATAATGCGTATTGGCCATAAAATTATGATGTGTAATGCAAAACCAAGTTCATAATCATCTCGACACCGGCTCCATAAAGTCATTGTTGTGCCATAACCTGAATTGATGTAGCATTGTTTATTATGTTCTCACCATGTTGCACCATATCAGATTCCCAAAGAACACTATATTTTGCCATGAATGTCAACCCTTAAATTGCACCTATCCACTATATGATTTGATTGAACTATAAACGGAAAAACAATGGGTCTATAATTTTCTTGTCTAGGTTAAATGTTGGAATAAACCATTATCTTGATTTATTTGCATGTGTGTCCAAGTGCTAGATAAGGATTAATATGAATCTTCCTTACTTTCTGTTCATGTTTGTTGGGAACTGTTAATTATTAACTATTTTGATATGCCACCAGAGCTAGTACTACGTAGAACTTTTCTGTTATACTTGCACAATTCGTTGAACATCTAATATGAAACCTGAGGGTATGATGTAAGAGTTAAATTTGACGTGAGCACTCTGATTTTGGTTAATTGATGTTTAATTGAAATAATATTCGACCTGTGACTTAAATACACTGCTGGAAACCCCATGTTTAAAAGTTTGATATTTATTTTGAAATGTTTAGATACATCATGAGATATTATTATTATTTTTGAAATGTTCTCATCGAATAGAGGTATTGCTGCTTGTATGGATGTGATTAGTCATTTGTTTGAGAAACTTTGAATTAAGTGTTGTTCATGCATAAGGTCTCGTACAGTAAAATTTTACTTGTCCCTTGAATGCGAATTTAATTATAGCTAGGAACTTTGAATGTGATTATTGTGAACTTGATTTATGAAAGCTTGGTCTGTTTTGATGGGTTACATTTGATAGCTGTTTCGAGACTGTAAGGTGTGTCTATGACTGGAAAGTTCCTAACATGGTTAATGGATCCTCTGATCAGTGGAGTCAATTACACCCGAGGTACCTAAGACAGCGGAAAGCTCGAGGAAGTTTCTTCATGTGGGTGTTTTGACGAACTGTATAAGAGGTACCACTTACCATGATATGTATGAAAAGCAGGATGAAAGTTTTGTGATTTGATGAAGATTCTCCTCGTTGAAATTTAGAATGTAATGTGCTCTGTTTTACTTATTTAACTTCCTGCAAGCTTATAAGTATAGAATCTTGTTTATGATTTTATTTAGTAAGGTAATTAATGTAAAAGTCTGGATATAATTCAAGTGGGTGATGTGGTTGGTTAGTGAATTAATCTTCTCATCGAAAATGATTAGGTAGGAAGTAATGACACTTCGAAATAGTGACATGTACAGTACAAAGACGAAACATTGAGGCCCTAGTTTATCAGCCTAAGTTTCTGTAAGTAATAAGAGGTAATGTTACTTCGTGATTAGATGGAACCTTACAATCTTAGGAACTCTTTTTGATTTAGGCCACTGACTTGTTAGTCCCATTTTATATGGAAACCTTTAAATTTATTATTAATGAGTAGAAGTAGGGTGTGTCATCAAGGGGAGTGATAATAAAGAGATTTTGAGAAGCCTCTATCTATTGCCATGTTTTACTTCATGTGTTAAAATTCTGAATCGGGTGAATAGAAGGTTAATCACTTATGCCTATACTAGTAATAATTATTAAAATTTATAAAGTAAAGAAGTGGTTTGCAAATGGATTTGTTTAGTTATCTATTAATTATGCACTAAAACCCTGAGCCTATTACAGTTTTATATAGACTGGAGTTTCTTGGTTTAGTAAGGTTTTCGTGTCCGTTTTATTCCACTTGTGTGTTATGTAAATGTTGATGTTTGAAAAGAACTCAGGAAATTGCTCGTATCATGATTAAGCTTAGGAAGATTTTTCTTTTATTTCCTTCCGTACAAACAAAATTGTGTTATATCTATATTATTTAATGATCATGTAAAGTACAAAATTTATTGGTAATGCTCTGAGATGATGATGACTTTTATAGCTGGCTGTATGAATGCAGTAAACTATATGGCATGGTGTAATGGTGTTAAACCTTAGACTTAGGCAGATTTTGGGGATGGTAAGACGATGTTTGGTGTAACACCCCGTGTATACCCGGAATATTAACATTACATCGTATTAAGCGGTGCTTAATTAAAAATGCGGAATATTCTTTTTCTTTTCAATTATGACGTCATTATAAATTACCAACTTGATTACTTAATCAATTTCATAAAATAACGCCTGTATGTAAATTGCAATAAGACATATACTGAAATACCTCAATGTATAGATAAAGTGTGTATCTAAATCACGTCATTACATCAAGTAATCCGGACAATATCCCGATACATTATTACAACTCCAAAAGACTCAAAACATAATCAAGACATAACAATACTATGTGTCATGGACAATCCCCATGCTCACCAAATAAACATAGTAAATAACAAGTCTCAACATAAAACTCCACAAACGTAAACTGAAGCTATAAGCATAAACAACAGGCAAATCCAGCACCCAATCATGGCAGCATAATATAACAGCAATCTAACTCAGCTCCGGCCTCCTGCCGCCTGAGGTCTCAACATTACCTGACCCTGAAATAAGCATTCCCCAAACGTGGGGTGAGATCTCTAAACTAGAAATCTCAGTAAGACAAGGGGTCCTCAAGGATCTTCCACCCCAAGCTCACTTACATGTGCAATATAAGTTCAAAAAGCATTTATATCATTATCAGTTCCAAAACTATGTAGTGCAACAGATATCTATGGCATGTGTGTTTATCACTATCTACTGGCCAGAGAAATGTAGGAATACGTCTATTCCCTACATGTAGTACAAGGAACACCGCTTGCACCTCACCCACAATATCACCCTCTTGTATGTTCTACATACTCAGGCTTACCGTATAGGTGGAACACCTCCATGCATATCAACAAGGCACTAACATATAATAGCTCAACAACATTTCCAAAACATCAAAAGCATGTAACACAGCATGCATATACCATATCCCCATGGGACATGGTGGAACCACAACATGGCTAAACCGAGGACACGAAAGCTTACCTCTAAGCTAGCTATCCAAGCCAAGAGTCCACACAAGCTCAAAGTCCAAACACAGCAGAATCACAATCTGTTTTAGACCAACAATTATATCAATATTCACATTCTAATATTTACAATGTTTAACTAGACATCTTGAGATTTCCAACAATATACTTTATGTCTCAATCGGAGTTGTATAACTCCGGTTATGATTTACGCAAGGTGACTGCTGCAAACGGAATTTCCAGCAACCAAAATGCGACTTAAAATAGACACTGCGATCAAAACACTGATCCAATGGCTACAAAATTTTACAGAGTTGTAGCCCTATGTGTTAGCTTCACATAGGTCCAAACCTCACTCAATTTAGAGCTCTGTAGCTCGAGATATCTCAATTTTACTAAACTAGGTCGTTGCTGTCACATTTGCACAAAACTGGTTTCTGGTCATTTTCACAGGTGGTAATCGATTACCAAGGGCTGGTAATCGATTACTGCACATGGTAATCGATTACCACCAGCAAGGTAATCGATTACCACACATGGTAACCGATTACCAATCAAAAGTAATCGATTACCACGCGGGCAGAATAGCATTATGCAGATTTTTTCTGCATAATCCGAAGCCAAATTGCCACCCCATGACCCAAGGTCCGGTCTTGACTCAAAACAGAAGTTCAATACCACATTTTAGACTTAGATTAACAACCTTAAGCTTGAATGATTAAAGTTAACTCATTTTATAACATAAACCAGTCATTTTCATGAAAATTTAAAGGAAAGTTCAAGGTATACCAATGGAGGTTCAAACTCAGCCACAAGGAAGGCTCTTGGAGCTCTCCAACAAGGTTCAAAGATTCTGACTTGAACACAAAACGAAAATGCCAACAAAGCTTGGCCCTTTCTTCACAAAGGAAGCTCCTTGGAGCTCAAAATGCCATTACAATGGCTCAACAACCCCAACCTCCAAAGTCAGCACCAAAAGCACCCCAAAACAACCCACCAACTCAGAAACCAAGCCTCTCACACAACCCCAACACAACCACAAGGTGTTTACAAGGAAGAATCAAGAGAAAAGATGATCATTTGGTGGTTTCTCATGAAGAAATGGTGAAGACAAGCCAAAGAAGCACCAAGTCAGCAATGGAATAGTGTAAACTGATCAGCCCCCAAAGGTGTTCACGTAGGAATGAGGTTCTAGGGTTTTGTGCCCACTTAATGAGTGTATTTATAGCCAAAACCCACTTAAACTCATTGTATTAACTTTAATTGCTACGCTTAGCATTTTAATCCCAAACTTTGGATTCTGAAACTACATAATTTTCTAAGATTTATCATATTTTTCTAATGATTTTCTGAGCAACTTTCTGGTACGCGCTTTTCAAAGCCAGTACCGGTTTCTAGCACCAGTTCTCATTATTTGGACTTGAAACTCGTTTTACAAGTCCTACATGTTATTCTAGTAATTATCATGTACTTACTTTAATTTTCTGGGATACTTTTTCGGTAAGCATTTATACCGACTAGCAGAACCGGTATCTGCACTTTTCTTCCGAAAAGCGACTTTCAGCATTCTTAATCACTTATCATAATTATTAAAGCCTCTTAATAATTATTAGGGTCAATTATGGAATCATTTCTTATTTTCACATAATTAATTAATTAAATACCTTAATTAACGGTGCAGGTTCTTACATTTGGGGACAAACTTCAAAACAAGTTGGGGAGAGTGTAACATCCCATGAAAATTAGGAACTTATGTAAATTACCACTAGTAATGGGAATGCATGTATTGAATTTGAATTACTTACATATGGCTATGATGGGATGAATTTTAAATAATATTGGTTACATTACATGAAGAAATCGTAGTTACAGCCTAGGGGACCCATGAAGTGATAACTATTAGGAAAGTATATAAATTGTTACTTGGAATGAGGAATCTTGTCTTGAGGGCGAGTTTTATATAAGATTAGGGTGGAACTAACTTAAAGTAGGAAATATTATTTGCTGCAATTATGGTAAATATTTAGGGGATTATTTCCATGGGTAAACCCTTAGAAAATAATTAAATAAATAAAAATAAGATACATAAAATAATAAGGCTTGGGTTAATTCCTAAGATAGGAGAACAATTGGACTTATTTTTTTTGAACCCATTTTTCCACTTAGGGCCTCGGCCCAAGGGTCTTTGACGGGGACTTGTAATCGTCTCAATTTTTCCTCAGCTTAGCTAATCCTCACTCATCCTTAAGAAATATGGATGTATGCTCCGTATTGGCCCACTCTTTTTGCATGTATTCTCATTGGTTGGAAAACCACTTCCCTATCCTAACCATCTCCTATATTATTCTAGTGACATATACATACTTTTTATAATTTTCCGGAATACTTCATTGGTATGCATTTATACAGAGTAGCAGAACCGATATCTGCACTTTTCGTCAGAAAAGCGACTTTCAGCATTATTACTCACTTAATATAATTATTAGAGCCTCATAATAATTACTAGGGTCAATTATGGAATTATTTCTTAATTCTCATATTTATTTAATTAATTTCCTTAATTAACGGTGCGGGATCTTACACATATACTCCAAAATGGTTTACAAGTAAAATCACAAGATAAGCTTGTCAAATATTTGTAATCTTCAAGAGAGCTAGACACGATGTTTTCCCCTTGAAGTGCTAGATCTTCCTCCTTGAGAATCTAAAACCACATTGCCTTAAACGGGGTGAGATAAAATCTTACTAATTGCATGAAAGATTGGAAAAAATATAGCATAACACAACATCATATAATGAGGCAATCTCTAATTGATACATCTGTGTACTAACACACTAAGACGACTCCGATTAGTTATACCTCAAAGTGAGTATCACTATGAAAATTTCAAGAGTCGTACTTCTAAAAAAAAATCCCGAAAAATAAGTCCATACCAAAATTCTATTGGCCATTGAACTTAATCAATTGATAAATACAATGGCTAAACACACTAGCACATCATATTACATAATCAATTGCAATTTAGTCCATATACTAATGATACAATCCAACCTCTAATGCTTGTTCATTTGTTCATACACCAACAAACAATAATTTTATATAAGAATGCATATTATACCATACTCTAACAATCCAACAATAATCCAATGAATTAACCACTACTCCAAGGAGTATAGTAGGACTAGTCCTAAGGTCCAAGGGTTTTTCTCTTGTAGTTTAACCTCCAAAGCTTTTTTTTTTGTCCAATTTAGCCAACAACACACAATTTTTCCAATAACAGTCTACTAAGAGCAATACAAACAATCAATAATCCATTGCTCACATGGATTCACAAAGCCAAAGGCTCCAATTCACCAAAAACAAAGATTAAACAACATGGATTCAAGAATTAAACTCGAGCTCCAAAGTGGGCTACAAAGATAATTCCACCACTAAAACTCCACAATCCTTAGCTCCATTAAACCTTTTTTTTTAGAACAAAGTACTTTTATTAAGACCCATTCATTGAAATGCAAAAACCCTCTTTCACAACATGAACCCTAACCCACAAACAATTAAACCCAAGGGGATTAAAGCTGTTAGTATATAGGTGTCCTAGAGACAATCTGTTTTATCAGATGAACACCTTTTTCTATTTAGTATTTCATGATTAATAAATTTGAGCAAACTTTATCTTTATCATATTTATGTCTCGCCAATATTTTATTGTTAATATGCGTTTAAAGATAAAGACCCAAGGAATAGAACATGTGTTCTCTCGAGGATCTATGATATGGATCATGATCATGAGGACTCGAGGACACTAAATGTTTATTACCTAAAATCTGTTCCTGGACTTGAATCACCAAGAAAGGGTATTGGTGATCTCAATAAGACTAGTACGACATTATCTACTTGTATGGAGATACAAAGTAGAGACCTCATGGAATGCAGGCATGATGATTCCTTAGCTGATGTTGTGGATGGATCTGTTGGAGAACAGATAGCATTGAACTGACTCGCCGAGAGACTCCACAAGGATTCATTTTGGAGAGTATCATTGGATTTGTAAAGTCTCTCATCATTTGGTTCTTATCTAGAACTCTGAACTTATCAAGAAGCTTGTTCTTGTGGCGTTCAAACCAGACTTATCACTCACCTTCTTCTTTCTTGAGTGTGACGTCTTTATCCTTCTTTATACCTTTGGTTCTTGTCTTCCAAAGATAATGGGTCAAGGTTCTTTATTTCATATCACACTAGTTCATAGATCCAACAAAAATCCTTACCCACTAAGATCAAACAACGGTGAATTCTAAAAATATTCCATTCTTTTTGGATCCGACCCATATATTTTGTTTGAATTACAAGCTCGAACAAGAAAATTTAGTTGGGATGAATAAATAAAGGGATAGATTTTGGCCATCTAATTGTACAGTAGAAAGAAAGTAGTGCTTGATGTTGTTTGTAGGGAAGTCGTTGCAGACCAAAGCCCAAATTCACGTCCAATAAGCTGTCGTGGGCTAATCCATGGCTTAAATAAAGATTAATGCGGTCCACGAGAATCGCAACTATAGAATTCCACCACTCCCTCACTCCTTGTTTGCGATTACCACATCAAGACAATTACACCACGAGAACTAGA